ATGCAGTTTTATACTCAATTTTCTGGTGAAACTGCAAGTTTTCAAAATCCTTCTGCTCTGCCTTCTGCTCCCAATTCTCACAGTAAACTTGGCTAAAAGTTTCTTCCAATATCTATGCCACTGCATGAATGCTGTGCTGCTTCAAAATTTCTTCTGCCAATAAGTCTATCACCTTTAAATTTTGCCTCATACCAAGTCTCAGGGAATGGGGAAAAATGTAGACAAGTTGCCAGCATGTAATGTGAATGGCCTCTAGTTCAATTCCAAACAGAATCCCCATTTACCTCTGAAACCTCATGAGCACAGTCTTTATTGTCCATGCTCCTATCTATACTCTGGTTTTCTAAGCTCCCACCAGAATTACGCATTATGCTTTACATATACAGCATTCTAAGAGTTCTCTTGCCTGCATCTCCAAACTTTTCCAAACTCTTTCTGCAAACCCATTCCAAAGGCTTCTGAACCACAGGGTCAAGCTAGTAACAGCAACAGCCCTATTTCTTGGTACCAATTTCTGTTATTCAAGTTCTCATTGCTTTGACAAAAAATATCTGACCAGAATGACTTAGAAGAGAAAGCCTATAGTTTCAGAGGTTCAGTCCATGGTTGACCAACTCTATCACTTTGGACCTGAGGTGCAGGAGAATATCATAGGTCACTGAGGGCATGCCCTGGGAGAGTTCAGCTTTCCTGTGACCCCTTCCCCTTCTTTCTCTGCCTCCCAGTCACTATGAGTTGAGAAGCTCTCCTCTGCCACCGCCTTCTGTCATGTTATGCTGACTTACCTTGGCCCAAAGCCATAGAGGTGGCTGATCATGGACTGAGAAACTCTGAAACCCTGAGCCCAAAATAAACTTTCCCTCTTGAAGTTGATCTTTTTGGGTATTTTGGTCACAATACACGAGGGCTATGACCTCCTCATGGATAAACTGGTTGATAGTAGAATGGACTCCTGTGAGGCAGTGGACGGTGTAGGCAGATGGGTCATGTTGGCAGAAGTAGGTCACTGCAGACATGATCTGGAAGGATTTTTCCCTTTCTGCACTCCCTTTCTCTCTCTCAGCTTCCTGAATGCCCCGAGCTGAACAGCTTTCTTTCATCACACCCTTCCACCATGATGAGCTGCATCACATCTGGCCCAACACAAAGGAATCAGCTGAACCATGGACTGAGAATGGAAACTGAGCCAAAGGAAATCTTTCTTCCAAGTTGTTTATATCAGGTATTTTGGTCAAAGAAACAAAAACTGACTAATAGATTTAGTATCCAAAATAGCACAGAAGTGGCATAAAAATAGACACAAAACCCAATGGAATAGAATTGAGAACATGGAAATTAATACGTTTATGCTGCCAACTGGTTTCTAACAAGAACAAACAGTGGAGAAAAGACAGTCTCTTCAATACAAGGAGCTTTCAAAATTGAATATACATATACAGAAAGACAAAACTGGATTTCTTCCTTTTATCACACACAAAAATCAACTCAAAATGAATCAAAGATCTAAATGGTAAACCTGAAACTAGGGAATTACTGCAGGAAAACAGTAATGCTTCAAGACTTTGCTGTAGGCAGGACTTTGTTTTTGTTGCACTCAAAAGCTATAAGCAACAAAAGTTGAAAAATAAACAAATGAGATGACATCAAACCCCAAAACTTCTCCAAAGGAAATAACCAGTTTGAATAGACAACCTACAGAACAAGGAGAAATCTGTTCCAACTATCCATAAAACAAGGGATTGCTATCCAAAATATATAAGAAACTAAAACAAAAATTCAATTGAAAATGGGCTAATGATCTGAATGGACTCTTCTCAAAGGAAGACAGAAAATGGCCAAATATATGAAAAATGCCCAGGAGTTTAGCCATCAAGGAAATAGAAATCAAAACCACAACAAAGCTGTGGTCTTACACCTTAATGAGAATGGCTACCTTAAAAAAAAATGCTGAAGGGGGGTGGTGGAAAAGGGGAACTCTTAAATACTGTTGGTGGAAATGCGAAATTGAACAGCCATTAGGGAGAAGAGTGTTGGAATCCCTAAAACGCCTGAGGCGAGAACTACCATTGTCTTGCTATCACTCCATTGGGTACATGTCCACAGGAGACGAAATCATTACACAAAAGGATGCCTGCATTCCCGTGTTTCCTGAAGCACTCTTCAAAATAGTACAATATGAAACCATCCAGACGCCCATCAGTGGACAGGCAGATCAAGAAAATGGGGATGAACATTCACAGTGGAACATGAGTCACAAGAAGTCTTACATTTACAGCAGCACTAATGGAACTGGAGGTCATTTATTAAGTGAAATAAACCAGACATGGAAAGACATAGACCACATGTTTTCACTCATCTGTGGAAACTAAGAGGTCAACTTAGTAGGAAAAAGGAGAACAGCAATTGCTAGAGACTGGGGAGGACGGGAGGCAGAGGTGCAGGCAGCCCCAGCACACAGAGAACAGGAGGCAATTCTGGCTTCCTCAAGTACCTTAAGGTCACATGATCAAAACAATCTAGAGTGATTCAAAATGACTAGAAAAGGGCCAAACTCCTGACACACAGAAATGACTTGTGTTTGAAGAGATGCAAAGCTTAAGACCCTTATTTGGGTGCACACACTGAGTTACCATAATGCACCCCACAGAGATACCCAAATGTGAGGTCTCGATAAAAAAAAAAAATTGGATGACCAAAATAATTTTTAAAAATTAATGTGAGCCCCTCAGTCTTTCCCAGGAAGTGCTTCTCAGATCACCTGTGCATAGGACTCACCTGGGGATTTTTCTGTTTATTTTTGTTGAGATTTTTTTTTTTTTAAGTGCAGGTTTGACAGCAGCAGTTTTGGATGGAGCCTGCCCTGCACTTGTGCCAAGCCTCCAGGTCACAAGGAACAAGGTGTCAGAGGGAAGAACACTGTCTGAGCTGAAGCATAGGAAGACAGGCTGAGCATTGTCATCTGAGGTCACTAAAGCAAGCTGCAGAGAGCTCTATGTCCAGGCTGCATGGCCAGTAGCTTCACTTACTTGGGCATGGCAGGGTGGGCTTGTCTCATCATAGCTATGATGGAAGTGTCCATTTTTAGAATCTAAACTCAAACTGTTCATCCTAACAAGTGGGAAGATGAAGGGGTTCTTTGGAAGGGGGTGTGTGTTCTGTTATGCAACAGAAGTGCCCTCCTCCTTTCTGATAACTATCTGCTGCATCTGAATAAAGGATACCTGGCCTTTTTGCATAGATTACTTGTGAAAGAGTCTCTAAGTGTCCAGTAAGCAAAAAGCTCTATTTCATTATTAAGAAAAAAAAAAAAAAACAGTATGCAGGGCCTCTGGTGGGCCCAGGATAGGAGCTGCAATCTTACATACTCTTGCCTTTTCCACGATAAGAAGATTCCCATGTTCCACAAATGTTTTCCCAAAACGAAAAGTAAACATCCTCCAGATTTCTCTGCTGTTTAACTCTCCTGACCAGCCTTTATGCTGAGATGCTAGTAATACATTTTGGAACACTTCCAGACTGCCTTTGGACTTACCTTTAAGACACTGCATTACATTTTCTCATAACTCAGATATGAGATTTCCACTCTCAAAAATGGACTGAACACTTCACAAATGCCAGGTTCTGTCTTTACAGCCTGCATGGTGAACTTGATCTGTAATTTCCATCAAAAGCATAAATGTGACACATTCAACACCTCCTACATCAGCTTCTGCATGGAGAGTCAAACTTACCTTCAAAATTATCAATAACAAATAATCTCTGTGTAAATGCAAAACATCCTCATGTGCTATGGAATTTATTTTAAATGCATTAATTTTAATAAACAGAAGTGTTTTTTAACATTAGAGAAATAGTATAACTTGAAGGCAAAAAAGACTGATATTTTGAAATTAAATGCAAAAACTGATAAGACATTGGACACACACACACACACACACACACACACACGGTAATGGGTATATGTGTACTAGGTAACAAATACAAACATGTGGTCCTTAAAGTTCACGTTTCATTGCTCAGCATTTTAAAATTGTAAACCTAAACTAATTTCAATTTAATACTTAGGTAATTTCGATGACTTATTTGAAAAACTTCAAAGTTAACATTGCTTTAAATTAAAGATCATGAAAAACTTAAAAATTAACATTTACTTTGAATTAAAGATCATAAATTCATTAATTATATTCAGTATCAACTCATTTTGATACTAGGAAAAAACCACAACTTCTATGCTTGAGTGTCAATTTATCTCTATTATTTCTGATTTTTCTACATATTTTCTATTAATGAATAAACAATATTTTATGTAAATTTATATGAAATGCTTATCCCCATCTTTTTCTGGCCTATTATAGAAAATCATTGCATAAAATTATGATGATTGAAAATGGCAAATATTAACACATAAGCTCTAATTATTCCTTTTCAAAAATAGGTTTTAATTTATACAAGAAGCCAGCTATAAAGTGTGTATTACTATGCCTAGAGTAACTGAGCTGTGTGTGTCTGACCACATGGGGGGAGCAGAGGTCCTTAAGACATTGCACCTTGTGCAGGTCTGAATGTTTGGACTTTCACAAAGTGCTTTACAATTTCAGGGAAGAAGAAATGAAATAGTGATCCAGGTTTCAGGTGTCTGCTAGGAGATTCTGACGAGGGTGATAATGCGCATGTCCCTCTAGAACCTCAGCTGTCTCAAAGTTCTCTCCTCTTTTTTATAGAGAAACTGTGCACCTTTACATGCTTACCCTTTTACAACTGTCAAGTATGAAGGCAAATGAGAATTTCTATCCTGCATTTAACTATGTGAACTCAGGATTTGGCCCTTAGACTTCAGCATGTAAGAAAACGGGTTTTTATATTCCAATGATCTCAGGTGGACTTGATTTCTTTAGGGAGAGCCCTCTCTGTGCAGAACCCGTGGCTGGTCACCCCTTCCCCTTCAGAAGCTACAACAGCTCGACAGACTAGCAGTCACTGCAACCACTGCTCGGCTTTACCTGTGCCACTGGTCGACCACCGCCCTGGATGGAAGCCTCCAGATTATCTTGGGTGTGGGCTCCCCAGCAGCTGAGCAGTTCAGTAGCAGTTCATCCCCCAGGTTCACCTCTGTCCACCTTGGGGAGGCGACCTCTATTCTGGGGCTGGTCTCCTGCCCCTCCACTCTGAGCGTCACCACCCTTCTCTCCGAGCCAGTGGAGCTGGTGGCAATGCACTCGTAAGTGCCCCTGTCAGCAGGGGCTAGGTTGCTGATGTGCAGAGTCCCATTGGCACCTAAGAACCACTTGGCACTAGAGGCCTGCAGGGGTTTTATTTCAGTGCCGTCGGCGAGGACCCAGTGAACGAGGGGCTGAGGAGTCCCTTCTGCAGTGCAGGGCAGTTCCAAGCTCTCCCCCAGACGCCCCACGAGGACTTGCCTCTTCTGCTCTAGAATGACTGGGGGAGCCGCGATGACTTGTACCCTAACCAGCCGTGAATCCTGGCCAGCGGAGTTGCTGGCCACACACTTGTAAAAGCCACGGTCGTAAATGCTCAGCTTTCGGATGACTAGAGCTCCGTCGGCGGTCACCAGGGCCTGTCTATTTCCTGTGGACGACTCAGAGACCACTGACTGGTTTGCAAGAATCCAGGAGACCCTAGGACTGGGCCTACCCTCTGCTCTGCACGTCAGCTCCACGGTGCTTCCAGAATAGACCGTGATCTCTTCAGTGCGTCTCTCCAGGATCCTGGGGGGATAGGAAACCACGGACAAGGTGACATGAAGGTGGTCCGTGCCAAATGGGTTGGACGCTGAGCAAAGGTACTGTCCACGGTCCTGAATGCTGACCCTCTGGATAGACAGAGTGCCATTGGGGTGTACCTGGAACCTGCTATTCTGTTTCCTCTTAGACAATTCAAGTCCTGATGAGAAGAAAGAAATTCAAAGTTCAGATTGGAAATACAGAACTATCTTTTTGTTAAGCTACTGGGAATAAATACATTTTAAATTAAACTCTAGGTCTTCTGATTGCTAATTATTCCTTGATTTTTAAAAAAATTTATATATTTTAAAAGCCAGATAGTTGAACCCAATGACCACTCAGTCATTTTCAAATCGTGTTTGTGAGGGAGCTCTGCTTTCAAATAATTTAAAAAATGGTTCTTAATTATTTTAAAACCTTCTAATGAATGACGCAAAGGTCAAATGAGGATTTCGTGATTTCTGTGTTTTAAAGAAATGTGTAACTGAAAATACAACACAATCTTTCCCCTGTTTCATGATTAAAGGTGACCAAGCACAGAGGGACAGTTCTCAATACCTGATGAGACTCTGATCCAGTGGACGGTGGGCGGGGGGTTCCCAACGGCTGTGCAAGGGAGAAAGGCATCCGAGTGCGCAGGAACCGTGAAGCTGGCAGCGTTTCCTCCAACTATTCTGGGCTTTTCAAACATACTCCTCAACAAAGAGTCAGAGGGAAGGAGCTGGAAAGTCATGATTTTTTGACTAGCTTTCTTATCCGTCTTCTGTCCATCCCAGTTTGAAGTCTGAGAGGTGGCCTCTGGTAAGCTCAGAGTGGGCAACTCACTTGGGACTGGATTTTTACCTTTGCCTGCAATTTCTGGGTATAACTTGGGCCCAAACTGGTTTTCTGGCCAGGACAAGGGAGTCCATTTGGAATCCTGAGACTTAATTGTTATCGATCTTGGTCTCGGGGTGAGAGTAGGGCGTCCCCAGCTGGGGTTGGTGAAGTGGGCCACTCCAGTCACAAGTTTGGCATCTGGCTGCTGGGGAGGTGCTGTGACGGCTGCTGCTAATTGCTGTAGATCAGCATCATGCCTCAAGGACTTGTTCAAGGTGACCACTGTATCCGTCCTCATCTTGAAGACGGGAGTTGCCAATCTGTCAGTAACTACAGTTTGCGTGGGGAGCAGGGAGGTGGGAATCGGCACTAGAGGACCACGGCTGCTCAGGAATGGTGGCTTGCTTGAGGGTCCAACACTGATTTTCCTGGCTGCCGTACTTTGGGGTGATTTGCTGGACACCAACATTTTGGAAGCAGTTGTGCTCCTCAGAGTCTGGGTGGTCTCTTGGGGCGGCCCTTCAGGTACACCTGTCAGGGGAAGGGTTCTTGAGTGAAGACCAGTTGTGCTTGAAATCCCACCTGTGTCTTCCAGCGGTGGGGGAGTGAAAGCAGAGACGCCAGGCTCAAGGGAAGTTTCAGCTATGGCTGGAACAGGTGTCACGGTGGCGGAGAGAGGCAGGTCAGCACTCTGGCCTGGAGAGATGCTCGGGTCATTCCTGTTCCTCCGAGGCTCTTGTTCTCCTGGATATTCTGGGGACCTGGGTCCTGTTGTTTGGGTCTTATAGATAATGACAGATGTGGGAGCAGTGGGGGCACCTGTCAGGGAGGCTGTTTGCACTGGTTGGAAGCCAAGTGTGCTCGATTCTCTGGGGGTGGGAGTGGGAAGCAGGGAGTGGGAGGATGGGAAGAGCAGCTCCCTCCCTGTGGGGTGGTGTCCAGATCTGGGGGTTTTGCTGGTGTTGTGGTGGGTGGCAGCCAGTGTTACAGGTGGAATCTGCATCAGCCTTGCTGAGAACGTTGCAGGAGGGAAGCCAGGAATGTGATTTGTGGGTAGAGCAGGAGATATTCTAGGAAGCATCGTAGCTGTACTTTTCTGTAAACCAAACGTACGCAGATTCTTTAATATCCCTTTTTGTTTATAGTTATTTACAAAGATCTGATGCCAGGGGATTTTCCTTATTGAGAATCTTGTAGTGGGCAGAGCCGTGGGCACTGGTGGCTTGATGACAGGACCTGGAAGAGGTGGTGTAATCCCCGACTGTCCTCTGGCTTCGCTGGTGGTGGATACACTCAGGGAACTATTATCTGCTAGGAGAGGTTGATTCAGAGGTGTGGAGGTGGGGGCAGGAGTCGTGGCTGCAGTGGGGGCCCCGTGGCTACTTTCAGCACTGACATATTTTATTGTGGGCAATGTTTTATCAATATCCACCTCTGTTTTGTTCTCAGATAATGAAGGATTCTGGGCTAGAGTTGTGGATCCATCTGCTGTGACCATGGTGACGTCAGCGTTAGGGTGGGTGCTGGGGGGAGGACCTAGAGAAGACGTCGCTGTTGTAGCAGAGGCCAGTGCCTCTGTGGGAGGACAGGACAGGCACCTCACAGGGAGCTCTGAGGCTGAAGGTGTGGTAGTGCTTTCCTCAGCAGAGCCCCGGACTGCAGGCCCCACCATGCCGTATCCGTGCCGTCGGAGAACTGGAGTCCTGTATGGGCTAATAATTCGCCCTCTGCCCCAAATTTTCCTGCGCCGCCCAAAGCGTCTTGGGAGTGGGGTGCCAGCAGTGCTACTTCTAGGAACCTGAAATGAAGGATCAGCAGTAACGTGTGGCTCTGAAGGGAGCCTAGAGGTGCTAAGTCCTTGCAGAGTGTAAGAATAGGATTGCTCGCTCCTGGGTTCACTGGCTCCCGTCACTGGTGTCTGGTGGCCGTTTGTGGTATTTACCGACTCTAAGACCACATCAGCCCTGTTATTGCTATTAAGCGTTTTGATGAGGGCATCTCTGGTCACAGTCCTCTGTGTTGTTGGAGGAGCCTTTTGGAGATGCTCGTACCTCCCCATCTGCTCAGACTCCTGAAATTCAGTCGTTCTGGGCATCGGTGGAGAGACAGCGGCTGGATTTTGGCTGGCTGCACCGTGCATTTGGCTTGAACTACTTGGATCTAGGTCCTCGGGTGTGGCTGTGGTTTTAGAAGTGGTGGACTGCTTGAAACCTGTAGGGTTTTCAGGCTGCACAGGCGGACTCACCATGGGGGAGGCTTCTGTGTCAGAGGCTCTGTTGGCCACAGGGCTCGGGGCCATTCCTCCAGGGCCAGTGGCCTCCACCCTTGCCATAGCACTGGGAGCTGTGGGGCCCGAAGACTCCTCTTCTGGGGGGAGCACACCCGAAGAGCCCTCTTCCTCGCCAGGTGAGCTCAGGAGCCGGGAGCCTGGCGTGGGTGGCCCTGCCGTGGTGCTTTCCCGTTTCTGTGGCACAGTATTCTTTTTGGCTCTCTCCAAAAGAGCTGCCCAGTGTCGTGGGTCAATCCTCCGTGCAGAGGGGGGAAAGTGCCTCCTATGCTCCCTCAGGCCTCGGTGTGCTGACCCTCCCCGCAGCAGCGGGGTGAACCCCCCTCTGTCATTCTTACTTGCTCTGGAGACTGGTCTCCTAGCCTGAGTCCCCAAGGAAGCAGACGGAGGGAGCCCACCAACCACAGACTCCTGAGGGCGAGAGCTGGGACTGGGCTCCCCAAGTCCAGATCCATCTGCATCCCCCTCCTGCTCTGATGGCCTTTGACTTTTCATTTTGACTGAAACTTGATAAAGCAGAAAATCCACCCCCGAAGGGTTGGCTGCTACACAGCAATACTGACCTTGGTCTTCTGGGGTGACCTGCGGGATTCTCAATGTGCCATTGTTAAGAATTTGCTTTCCTCCTGAGGACTGATGGAGGACAGAGCTTCCTGGAAGGACCCAGCTAACAGAGGCGTCTGGGGTCCCAGTAGCATGGCATGGGAGATCAAGCGTGTCACCAGCAAAAACTGTGTGACGAACCCCCCGTTCAGGAAGAGCCTGCACGCGGGGCTCTACCACAGTGATCCTGTAGCTGAGGACGTCTGCGTCACCGTAATTGGTACTTACGCAGTGGTACATGCCCGAGTCAGAACCATCGGCCATCTGGAGTTCCAGCTTTCCACCTTTGTCTATGAGGATTCGTCCATCCTCACTAACATAGGGGGCCCTCACTTTGCTCCCATCGGCTAGAAGCCACTCCAAGTGTGGGCTGGGTTCCCCTTGGCCTGGGCAGTCCAGAGCAATGGTGCCACCAACCAGGACGGTGTGCTCCAGCTTGGTGTCGTTATTCCTTGAAATCATAGTCCACTTGTGTGTCCCTGGCTCCCCCGCTGTGGCTGGTAAAGTGACTTGAGCCTCACTTGCGAACTGGATCTGTAATGTCCCCAGGGTGGTCGCAGTTCTGTTCAGCTGCAAAGAGATCCGGTTCTGCATCAACCACGAGGGATCCGCTCTGAGGTCGGCCTCCACGTTAGTAAAGATGTCTTCGGGCTTAGGTGCCACCTGTCTGTATTTGTAGCGCAGCTGCGGTGTTTCAGGAGGCAAGCGGGTCCTTTCCAGTGTCAGAGGGGCATCACTGTACAAAGCCAGAATGTGCCACACTGGCTGAATGTCACTGGGATCCAAGTTGCACACCAGGAATGTTGAAAGTGACAGATTGAGGAAGATGTGGTTGTTTTCTTCAATGAACGCCATGGGCCGTGTCGTGGAGGGCTTCTGAACGCTGCAGGCCACGTTAGCTTTGTTTCCAAACTGGTCTGTCATATTCAGAGTTAGGGATCCGAGGGGTGCCAGGAAGTCTCGGGGAGAGATGGAGGCAGAACCACTGTCTTCTGGAACAATCGGTCTCTTTGATTGCAGAGACGGGTTGATGGTTGGCTTCACACACAGGAAAGTGGCAGCTGGGACCAGAGCAAAGGGCCTGCCCTTAACACTCTGGGGGTTCATGCAAGCAGGACACAGCTGCAGACCAGAGGTACCTCTGTCTTTTTTGCATTTTATTACATCTAGGAAAAATCACAATTGAATTACTATCTATCAGTTGTGACCTCTTTATAAATTCACACATGAACATTTTGAAGAAATATTTTTGCTACAATTTGAAATTTGAATATTAAATAGGTTTATATGGTTTCTGCCTTTGAAATGATTTCTAAAAAAGATGTCATCTATGTCTCTGCTGTGACATCCTACGCACAGGCCTGAGGGTTTCATCCATCTTATTCACTGAGGTATTTCCCAGTCCTAGAAAGTGCCTGGTATATATTTGGTACTCATTAAATATTAGTTGGGATGAATCATTTTTCTATCTAGGAAAACAAAATGATATGTTCATCTTCATTTTTTATTAGTAGTAGCTCCCTGTTTTAGTGTTCAAGATAGTCACAGAATACCTTTGTCCTAGAAGGATGACCTGTTCCACAAGCAATCCTTTGTAAGACTCTGAATATCATTAAAAAAAATTGTTTTCCCCTATTATCCAAAGAATATTGACCAAAATATAAGATGTCATGTCCTGGAACGACTTTGTAGAAACAGGAATGGAGAGAGACAGACGATGCTCAGGGTAAAGAGCAAGAGGCGAGGGTTCATAGACCAGGGCATGAGACAGGAGGCCAGGAAGACTCGGGTCCTGAGCTGGGGGGTGCCCCGCTGCCTGAGGCAGAGGCCCCAGAGGAGGAGCCGGCTTAATGCGAGGGGAGAGCACTGTGCCCGAGCAGTGGGGTGGCTCACTGAAGGTCTCATGGCACCAGGCAGCCTTCCACATCACAGAGCCTTGCCCACCTCCACACCGAGGTCAGACCTCACATTCCCTGGTATTTTAAATACTGCTCTTGTGAGCCCGTTTAAGACGGCCAGCCACTGGAATAATCCAGAAGAGCAGCTGTTTCCCTCATACAAGATGCAGGCTAGGATTTACACGCAGGAGCTCACACATCATGCACTGGGCACAGCACTTAGATCTGAGAAGTCCAGTGCTTCCTAAGACAGGCAAATCGGTCATCAAATCACTGTCACGCAGGTACAAGTTTCCTCTCAAAGGCCCAAGAACGTCACTCTCTATGCATTTGTGTCTGGGACGTCAAGACCATAAGTACCTAGTGGGTGGGTGGCGAGTTCACCATCAACATGGCTGTCATTGATAGGTGCTTTAACAAGGATTACTGAGAACCTACTGTATTCCATGCATGTTGCAAGGGCTAAGCTTAGATAACAGACACTGATAACACCACAGGCCCCAATACCAGCAAATACAATATGTAATCCTCTTAAGAATGGAAGTTCGGGTGGAACGATTCTTATGATATGGATGGGGTGGGTGCTGGAGCACCCCGACTTCCCAGAGGAGTGAGTGCTAACCAGACTTGCTGGCTGGGAGCACCAACAGAAACAAAGGGACAGGTAGGAGAAGCAGCAGGGACTATGACACAGCTGTGGTTTGTCCAAATGTAGTTCACGTTCATTAGGGCAACAAGTGTCTGTGTGTCTGGGGTGAGAAAGGGCCTGAGGGCTGGGAACTGAGCATTGGCAAGGACCACAGAGGGAGGACTTGGCACGTGGGCCGGGAGGCACTCTCCAGCCAGAGGTCAGCACGGTTCTTAGAGGGCCAGATGGAAAGAAGGTGGGCTTCATGGACCGTCCACCTCTGACACAGCCTCTTGACTGCACCATTGCAGCACAAGTACAGGTGGAAACCAGGTGTCAAGACTGTCATCCCCAAGTTATGACTGGGGCTTCACTTTCTCTTCAGCTAACTGACCTAGGACTCTTGTACTGATCAGACACCTCCAAGTTGGGTCCTCTATTTAATTAGGAAATGAACCACTGTGCAGATACCTGGCTTCTCCTGTATCCAGTCAGACAACCACCTCAGATGGCAGTCACAGACCCACGGGTTCCCGTGCAGATAGAGGCTCTCTAGGGCAGGCATGTAGGAGAGCATCTCCTGAGGGAGGGAGGGCAGGAAGTTGTCAGACAAGTACAGGTACTTGAGGAAGGATGTCTTAAACACCTGGAGGAAACGCAGAGACACAAAGGTATCTGGATGGAGCTTAGTGAGCTGGTTCCCTTCCAACTGCAGCAGGCGGAGAGAACTGAGCCCATAGAAAGCCTCGGGGTTTATGAACTCAATGTTGTTGTGGTCCATGTGCAGCCGGGTCAGGCTCCTGAGGCCATGGAAAGTATCTTTCTCAAGTTTGCGAACTTTGTTATAGCTCATTTTTAAGACCTGTAATCAAAAAAGATAAACATATTTATTTTGTTAAAAGAATTTTCACAAAAGGGGAAAAGCATATGTTGTAATTAGTCCAGTGCCATATGCATACCTGGTTGGGAGTCCAATTCAAACAAATTAGTTGCCAATTAAATAAGGAAATATCAGAAAAATTAGGACATGCATAAGGAATCATTGCTAAATTGAAAGACATAATAATGATATGATGATTATTTTTGAAAGATTCCTTTATTTTATTTTATTTTGGTACCAGGGACTTAAGCTAGTGCACTTAACTACTGAGCCACATCCCCAGCCATTTTTAGTATTATTTTGAGACAGAGTATCATTAAGTTACTTAGAGCCTCCCTAAATTGCTGAGGCTACTTCTTGAATTTGTAATCCTCCTGCCTCAGCCTACAGAGCCACTGGGATTACAAGTGCATGCCATCATGCCCAGCTATTTTTTTCATTTTAAATAGCTTTGAGATATTATTAGCATCATAGATGCTAATAAATAAAATGCTAAAATTCACCTTTTTTATTTTTTACTTACTTTTTTGGGGGGTGGGATTACTGGGGATTAAACCCAGGGGTGCTTTACCATTGAGCTACATCTCCCAGCCCTTTTTCTGTTTTATTTTGATAGTGAGAATGTAAGCAACTTAACGAGACTCTAAGTTCCTGAGACTGGCCTTGAACTTGAGATCCTCCTGCTGAAGCCTCCTAAGTCACCAGGATTACAGCCACTATGCCTGGCAGAGAATTCATCTTTTAAAAGTGTACAATTCGTTGGATTTTAGTACATTCATGGATTTGTACAACCATCTCCACTCTCAAATTTTAGAAAATTTTTATCCTCCCCAGATAAAAACCAATTCGTATTAACAATTATTTTCCCCCTCTTAGGCCTAATCAGCTGTTAGTCTACTTTCTATTTCCATGGATTTGCTGATTCTAGACAGTTCACATAAATGGAATCACACAACATGTGGTCTCTCTCATGTGTCTGGCTTCTTCCACTCACAAACCGCTCAGGACCCACGCTGACGCCTGTCCCACCCGCCTCAGCCTCTCTTTCCTTTTTATTACTGACTAGTATTCCATTGTATGCATGTATCACATTTTGTTTCTCCACTCATCAGTGGAGGGAGTCTGGGGTATTTTCTACTTTTTATTATTTTTGGATAATATGACTTTAATTGATTTTGAGTTGAAATTAAAACAATTTTGAATGTTTCAATTTTGCTTGAGTTTTCTCCAGTTCTCTGATTATAAACTAAACTTAACCCATTCCTCCCCACCCCCCAAAAAAAGAGGCTGGTGAAAACAAGATTTCCCCATTGTATTTTCCTGGTTCAGCCTAAGCTGTCATCACTATTGACCACGCTGTCCTGGAATGCCACGTGTCCTAATAAATAAAAGTTAAATTGGCTACACAGATGAGCTTTGCCCCAAGTGTTATCCCGAGTTCCTTAATACTTCCTGAAAACCCGGGTAAGGTGCAGCCTCCTGCTCTTGAGGATGCCCGTTTCCAGCAGAGCCTGATGAAGCCGGTCCTGGGCACCAGGACCACATGGGCTGCGTGCTCCTGCCAGGTTCATGCCGCTCCTGGGGCTGGTGTGCTGCACCGGGTGAGACCACTGCTGTCTGCATTTCATTGACTGTCTTATGAGGAGTTCTGGGACTCAGAATGACTGTGCTTGTCCTGAACCAAAGTTTCACTCCTGTTCTCAATGGACAGTGTCTGCCTTTCGGGAGTTCACGTCCTCTTGCAGCAGCTGCAAGGGCTTCCGCACCAGCAGCTCCCTGGGCTTCCCTTGCTTGTGTCCCTGGAGTTCTCTTGCCTTCTAGTTTCTCACTTCCCTGTGACAGTTCTTACGGTGCTTTCTGCCCTCTTGGAAATCCATAGAACTTCAAAAAGGTTTTCAAAGAAGGCAGAACATACACAAGAAATTAAGTAAGGCTGGACAATAGTTCGCTGATTCATAGAAAAGGTACCACATTCTATTCCCAGAGAAACGTGATTACAAATAGTCTTTGAAAGATAAAATTTTAAAGGTTCAGTGATCCCCTGGGTACTTTTTTTTACCCCCGTTAGTTGGAGGTATAAGAAAATTTCCCTGAGAATTTTCATAGTATTCTAATTTCCACGTATGGTTGCATTTAAAAAAAAAAATCAGTTCTTCACGTGCTCCCTTGACATCTGCCTCTAACTTCCAGAAGGTCTGCTTTGGGGTCCTGGGGGAAGGGCACCCCTCCACCCTCCCCGCCCTGCCCCGTGTCACCTGCAGCGCCTGCAGATCCGAGAAGGTCCTATCAGCGATGATGTGGATGCCATTGCTGTGCAGCAGGAGCAGCTCCAACTTGCTCAGGCCAGAAAAATCCATTGCCGTCAATCTAACCAAGCTGTTGTACCTGAAATCAGAATGCCACTCCAGGCATGAGCCGACTCTGCCAGCGAAAGATCACAGCAAAACACGCTCACACGGAACGCTCTTGCTTTACCTGTGCTCTAGGGAGAGGGTCAAATGCTTGGAACATTACTGAAGTTATCCAGATGCCACTGACTTACTCTCCCTTCCCAGTCCTGTGATCTCTGCTACTATGTTTCCAGGACATGCCACATCCATTCCCATCTTTAAACCTTCATGGACTTGCTATAACTTCAGGGCAGAAGACCCTCGACCCTGCCCTTTTATACTTGTAGATGTAGGCCATTCAATCCATAGTGGTCAAGGATCTGGGGCTCTGGAGCTCAGGTTTTAGCTTCTGGTTGGGCGTGATTATGAGTTCTGGCTTCTAATAATACTTGTGTGACCTGGGTAAAATCCGGAGACCTTGTGTGTTCCAGTGTCACTACAAAGTGCTGCAACAGAGTCCACTACAAGGGAGTTATGAGGATCCAATTTAGTGCTGAGCCTGGTCAGCACACAGTAAGTGCACAATTAATGTTGGCTCTTATGAGTCACGGCTGTTCCCAAGGCATGCTGCATGCTCTCCTATTCTCATTACAGCATAGACTGTTCAACCACAGCTTCTTCAGGTGAACAGTTTGCTGTCCATAACTGTATCCTGCTTGGCACACAATGAATGGGTGTGCTCACTAATGTCACATAAGAGATTTAACCCCCACTACACGTGCACACACACACCTTCTCATGAACCTTTAAAATACAGTCATCTGTGGTGGATTCAATTAGGCATGCGTTTTAAATAAGCCACAAATAGTAATGGCTCACATTAATTGTGCACATACTAACTGGGGCATTTTTAAATCTCAAAGGCCTTGCAAAAGAACATCACGGACTTTCCATGTCACTTGCATATGGGACAGTTCTAATTGCCCCATCATCTCTTACGCTATATCATAATGCTGATTGCTAAGAGCAGCTCTATTATTTTCCAGCAAAAATGTGCCCAGAGTGAAGCTTTTTCACAAGCAGAGCCTCCCAACCTACCAAGAGACTGTTCAGGTTCTAGAACTTTCTCCTCATAAAGGACTAGCAGGAAAAAGTATTGTCCCCAAGACTTACCAAAGGTTCTCATGAGATCATTTCATACAAAAAAAATGTTTAAAACAATTGTGGTTAATCTTCCAAAGCCATGGGGACTCTGGGGACAAGTCACTCACCCTAAATTGATGCGTTCCACATTGGGTGAAATGCTCTCTGGGATGGAGGTCAGGTACCGAAATGTGCAGTGCACCTCTGTGGACACATAGCAGGTGCAGCGGCGGGGACAGGCTCTGCTCCTGGGGGCAGTCACCAGGAGGACCCCAGTGAAGGTGACCAGCAAGCAGATGGTCTTCACCCTCATCCTAAAGGAAAACAAAATCTCACTTTGGAATTGTAAAAAAACTCAACTGAATTTCAGGACCCCCACCCCCACCCCCAACACACACACACAGTAGAAGCTCTAGGACTGGACAGAACTTTAAGGGTCATGCATGGCTAATTTCATTCACACCTTCTACAGTGAAAGGTAAAGTATACTTCTTGTAAAACCTCAGTGTGAGCTTATGGTCAAGCAGGATGCTTATTATTGTGAAAATTTCACAGCTTCTCACTTCCTAATGAAGAGCAGCAATCCCTACTATCCAGGGATGGTTAAAGGGGAATCTAGAGCTCAAGATGAGGCTATTGTGACAAATGAAGCCATAAGTCTTGGTTCCTGTTTATTCCAGAGCCTATGCAGACTAACTTCCAAAAAACCAATTACAAAAATAACACATGGACACCTCAGAAAACTGGAAAACTTTAAATAGAGAAATTTACTCATCATTTCAGCATTCATATAAAACCAACGTTTTGCAGCATTCCTTTGTAGTCTTTTCATACATGTCGACTGTATACAGAAGGCATATATCTGTGTGTATGTCTATTATAGATGACATTGTGCGACATTTATCATTTAATGTGTAATGTGTTCTTCATTTGATTAAATTTTCTTCAAAAACATTTTAAGGGTTATAATTATTCACTGGAAAAGAAAATAATTTTTGTCCAACTCTTCATGTCCTCGCCAAAAAGACACATTGGACATTTTGCTGCCAGCTAATGAGCACAGGCAGCAGGAGCTGTCCAGCTGGGAGGGCTGAGTCTTGGAGCCAGTCGGCAGTGGCCACACTGACCCTGCAGGCGGGAGGTGGGCTGTGTTGGCTCTGCAGAAACACCCCCTGCTCCTTTTCTTGGTCTCTGTCCTCCTCAGCCTGCCACAGGGGTGGAGAAGCTCACCAAGGAGATAATGTGCTCATCTTGTTGGGAAAACCATATGTTACCCACACGTGGGGACAGCCAGGGATCCAAAATCTTCTCCTGGACTTTAGAACACAAAAGGGTTAAAATAATTTTTTTGAATTTTTTTCTAACAAAAGTGATGTACAAGATTTGTAAATCTGTTCCTTTGAATAGAATTGTTTTCTTTTGGATTTAGCCAGAAATTATCCTTTCAGAACTGTGAAACACACTAGAAATAAATGGAAGCTAAATTGCTTTTCACATACATAAGGGAATTATTAGGGTTTAGCCCAGGTTAAAATTTAATTTAGGAATCATATGACCACTTTGATCACTATAACCATTTTGTTAGAAAAGATTTTAAATACACTCTGTATGACTGGAGGTGAATGTCCACCTTGCTATGATTATATCAGCAAGCCAAGGGACGTCAGGGTGAAGGTGGTCCTCAATTCAGCTAGAAAACAGAGGCAAGTTACTTAAAAGAATCAGAAGCATAAAAGAATATAGGGGCTTACCAAACTGAAGAGTGAAAGAGAAAGGGACCATACCTGAACTCTTCTTTCCCAGTCCCGAATCTTCCTGTGACATAGGCAGGGGCAGAAAATCTTTCCAAATAGGAGAAAATCACGTCCAAACTCAAGGCAGAAAAAAGTTCTCTCCTCCCAAACGGAGCAAATGGCTCAGGGTGATTTTACTACAGCTGGGAAGGGAGGCGCTGCGACCCCTTCAGAGCTCCAGCCGCAGCCAAGTTTCTCCGAGGTCCCCTTCCTGGGGACTGAGGGTGGAGGCTTTGAAGTCCTTTCTCCTCCGGAGTTGGTTCTCCTAGGAGCTGTCACTCAATGTGGCCAGTGCTCGCACTCCAGCCTGCCCTTCAGTCTCAGGAGTTTCTCTGCAAATTCTCTTAGGCAAACGTGTCATCGTGTCCACATCCACTATCTTTCCTGAGCGTGGTCACTGTCATCAGAGCGCCCCTCCCCTCTGCACATCCCCCGCCCTCGTCTCCGCCCCTGGCTCTGTAGGCTCCGGGGCAGCCCCTTCCAGCCCCGCAGTCTGCAGTCCGTCAGGGCTGACGGACACGCCAGGCTTTCACCTCCACTCCAGGTGACCAAGGGGCTGGCTCCGCGCTCCCTCCAGGTGGCAGCGGGTCCAGACCCTTCGGCAGGCGGGGCGGGGCGTAGCGGGAGGGTGACACCCCTGGGCCCTGCTAGGCTCCCAGGGGGAGGACCACCACCCTCTGGTTCTCTGGGAGGGCTGTCACTGGCTCCTGGTGGCTCTAAGTTCCCAGGGCTTTCTCCCTGCAGGTCCCTCCTGGCTGGCAGGGCTGTCTCCGTGGCTGCCCATTCATTCCCTCCTTGAGCTCTTCCACCTGTGGACAGGTGGTCTCTTGGCTTAAGAGATGGATGTCCTGGGTCTGTGGTTCTCCCAAGTTCCTTCTGATTGAAGGTGGAGAATCAGCAATAACAACCTGGGTCCCTGTTGTCCCTGTTGCTCTGTTTGGCCCCACCAGAGAATGTCGCACCTGCCACCTTTGAAAATAAGTTTATTGTGTGTATTTAAGGTGCACAACATGACATTATTATGCGCATGTGGGTAGTAGAATGGTTACTTTAGGGAAGCAGATCAACAGAGCCCTCATTTCAGTTATTTATTTTTTTAGCTGAAATCTCTTGAAGCAGTAATCCTGACACAGCGTGACTTCATCATAGTCCTGGTATTGCAGGTAGGGCTCTGGACTCCTGCAAGCCCCATGGCTTTTTCCCTCTGACCCACATCTCATCCCATTTCCTCCCCCACCACCATAACCATAGTTTATTCTCTCTCTGCATAAGAAAGATTCCACTGTGCGATTCTGCATATTTTTTTTCCTTTTTGTGCCTGCATAACTTGACTTAATGTCCACAAGGTCATCCATGTGTGGCAAGTGGCAAGATCTCCTTTTTAAGGCTTAATATTGTCACAAACACACCTCAGAGAGCCCCCTACCCCACACAGATTGCAAGGGATTATTAGAGAACTAGATTTCAACACTGTGCTATCTGCTTAGAACGAATCCCTTTCTCATCCCCAGCTCCACTGTCCCAGGGCAGAGCTACCTCCAGATCCCCCCTGCCAACTTGACCACTTAATCACTCCTACAATTCTAGACAGGGCTGCCAATATTTTTTTTACTTACACTGAATTATTATAAATAAAATGACTATTTCATCAGGGGCTGGAGATGTGGCTCAAGCGGTAGCGTGCTCGCCTGGTGTGCATGTGACCTGGATTCGATCCTCAGCACCACATAACAAAGATGTTGTGTCCTCTGAAAACTAAAAATAAAATTCTCTCTCTCTCTTTAAAAAAATATAAAAAAATAAAATGGCTGTTTAATTCTATCTACTTACATTATTTTTAAGCTTTTTATGTAAAACTGGAGTGGAAGTTCTAGGGCCATGGTTCTCATGATGTGCTCCTGGGAGCAGCGATATCAGCTTCACTCAGGACCTTGTTGGAAACACAAGTTCTCAGGCTGCATCCCAGATCTGCTGAATCAGAGAGGGTAGGGACAGGGCTCCATGGTCAATGGGTGAACTAGCCTTCCACGTGACTCTGCTGCCGCTGAAGTCTGAGAATTTTTTATTTAGGGAAATAATTTCTCATAAGGACAACAGCTTAGATTTCTGGAAGGTTTAGTCTCTGACAAGAGCTGTTATATAAGTATTTTACAAATGCCAACTCATTTCTACTTCACAACGGCACCCAAAAACCTAAAAGGAAAGTATGTCATTCCCATTTACAGGCAAATAAAGTTACCCCAGGTGATGCAGCTTGTGCGCACAGAAGCCAAAGCTGATTCAAACAAGGCTGTTAGGATCTACAGACTGAATGTCTAACCACAAGGTATGGCTGCTCTCTTAGCTTGGCACCTGTGAAGTGAAGTCCAATGCCAAATATTCAGGTGGTTCTTAGTTAGTAGCATTCAGGTTCCAAGGTAGAATTACAGCATCAGGCACTCAGCCACAGGTAATTCTAGAAGTGTGTATGGCGTGGACATAGTCTTTAATTCTGCAAAGTTGACAAGATTCTCAAAGTTGAAATTCATACATGGTGTCTAAACTTGGATGCTTGCTTTGGAAATAGAGGACATTTGTGGGTTCTTGGCATGCACAGTTTGTTTTTCTTTCAAAGATTCTCCTTACCAGCCCTCATGGCTTTGTGTACTTTAGCCAATTTCTAACCACAGCTTCTAACCAAAGCCTGGGTTCCAGACCTCAACGAGGATAAACCAAATAGCTGGCCAAAGAATGCTATTCCCCCATTTTCCCAGGATGGCTACCCAGGGCCATTTTCTATCAAAGAAAACTCTTATGAAGGCAAGCAGACATTCTTAGGAATTTTTATGACAGGAGTTTCTACAATTATTTTGTGTTAGAGTTCTCTGTTTTCTAATTTTTATGTAATCTACCAGAAATTATTAGGGAACTGAAAGTTATGTTGTGAACTATTCCTCGGTTCAACTTAATAATGTCAATAGTTGCTCTTATATTTAGAGCATATTATGTCCAAGGCTGTATGTGTGTTGCTCAATTCTCAAAAAAATATTTTGATAAGGCATGCAAAAATTATAACTATTGTTTTGGATGAGATCACTGAGGGTGCTAAGTGACTCAGAACCAGAACACAATACTGAATTAATAAAACTGTAAGGCCAATGCTCTTAAACCCTACATTTCCCAGCCTCCTCCTGCTTCAGTTTACATTTATACAACTACAAATGCTTAGAACCTCATTCCCCAAATCAGAGTATTTAATACCAAGCCAAAGCAGTTACAAATCATGTAGCTCTTGACAATCATAAATCTTATGGACTTCAGAGCACATTCATGTGCATGTCAACAGAGAAGCAGATGCCAGGCAGTTCCACCGTCATTCCTACCTCCTAGCCTCATACTTTTCATATTAACAATTAAACCACCCACTCAGTGATGCCAAAAGCAGTGAAGTAGACTAAACTCAGACACTGCTTCTATGAAGCTGCATCTTAGTGAGTAGGTCATGTCTGCCAGAGAGAGAAGCAAGGCAGGAAGGGAGGGAGAATGAAAATCACTTAATATCAGTCCTGCTCCAAAACAAGGTGTGCGCATCCACCCAATGTGAAACTGCAGGTCCCAAGGCAATAATGTGTCAGTTAATAGTAGTATCCAAACCCTTAATGTACTGGGGATCCAACCTAGGGCCTCCCACATGCTAGGCAATTTTCCCACATGATGAGCCAAATCCTGAGCCCCAGATAATTTAGTGCATTCATCATGCCATTTAGGGGTACAGTTTTGGAAGATTCAGAGATAACTTGAAGTCAGTGTATAGTCCTCTTGTGAGTCATAGATTCCAGGTCAAAGGAAACAGAAGAAATGGCAGGAAAATGCAGTGGTCCAGCCTCAGGATGATAAGTTCAAGAGGTGGTTGTGAGGAGGAAGGAAGGCATTAGCTGTAGAGAGACGTTTAGGAATCACGTTTATTCAGGATGTATGTGCAGATAGAAGAGATGACGAATGAATCTTACATATTTGGTTTGTGGTTCCCATGGGTCCTGAGAACCCTATAGGTGCAGACCTGAGGGGAAACTGAGGCAGAAATCCTGCCGGAATGAGCAAGTAGCCAAAGTGGTAGACATCTGGAGGAGAGTCCTGCTGACCTCACTGTCAGATAGGTCACTGTGAGTCCTATATGGTGTTTCGTAATGGTCACTATAACAAAGGCCACCCTTGGTGGAGTTTTTCAGAATTCACCAAGATTTCTCAAGCATGGGTCAGAGATGCATCTAAGAGATCCAAGAACCCCTCCAGTGTCATTGAGACAATGTCAGAAGTTGTCCTACATGTGAAGCCATGGTGGCACCATGTAGTTACGATCAGGCACATTTTGTATGAGCAAGCAGAGCATAGATGGGAGCTGAAAGCCCATGGAAAGCAATCAAGGGCACTGCAGCCAACCTCACCAACCACCGCAGAAGTGCAGTGCAGAGGAGGAACAACTAGCCAGCCATGTCTGAGGTCAGCCGCGCTGGGAGGATTCCACCACAATCACGGATGGAGCATGCACAGCGTCTGGCCAGGCTGTTGGCCACAATATGAAGCTCTGCACACTACCAGAGTGTTCTGGGGCACTGGGTTCTAGAGTGGGATATTTCTATTGTCCTGACATAGGTGGTAGGAATTGGGGTATGGTAAATTCTAGAGATTCAGATCCATGTCAGATGATGAATTCAAAATTAGTTTTTAAAAACCAATAACTTGGGGCTGGGGATGTGGCTCAAGCAGTAGCGCGCTCGCCTGCATGCGTGTGGCCCGGGTTCGATCCTTAGTACCACATATCAACAAAGATGTTGTGTCCGCCGAGAACTAAAAAATAAAAAAAAATTAAAAAAACCCAATAACTAAACTATTTCCTTTCTTAATTCTTCTATCTCAGCTTGTGTCTTTGGCTTAATGGTACATTTTATTAGAACTTTGTCCATTCTTCACATGCTGCAGTCTGGCTGGGCACAATTCACAAGCCACTTATCAAGCAGAAACAAAGTTTATTTTTAGAACACACACGCCGCA